AAAAATTATTTTCTTTACTTCTAATACTGTTTAAAACAAATTCCTTCTTTTAAATGAAATCTAGATTCCCCCTCCTTTGCCCTGTGACCCACCAGGCTCTGCAGCTGAGGCTCTTTCCTGCAGTCCCAACTTCCCTTTCCCTGTCCTTGTATTACCACTTCTCTCAGTTTTTGTATGTCTAACATATAACACTTACAACTCAGTTCAATTGTCACTTTTTCACAGAGGCAATCCCTAAATTATCTAACTAATACTTTACCTTTTTGTTACTTCAATGGTTTTAAAATCTAGTTGTCTTCACAGGAGTTTTGGCTTATGACAGCTCCATGGTACAGAGCAGAACTGTCATGTAGGCTTTTGAAATCAGTATATTTTGGACATGGATTAACAGGTCTGCTTTCTGAGATACATCTTGGTAGATTTGAATGCCCATTCTTAAGATTTGTATGCATAACTATTATCACTACCCAGTCACTATTTCAGCCTCCTAATTCCTCTTCATTCATAGCTTTTAGGAGGCACATGAAATAAATTTTAAAGTATCTTATGAAAGAAAAATTTGGTGTCATAAATTATGTGTGGTGGAAATAGCTAGTAGCTCATTAATCCGGCGACCTTTCCTGACCCTACTGGAAAACTGTATTTCCCAGCTCCTTCTGAACTGGATTTGACTGTGTGACTCATACTTAACCAAAGACGGTGTATACTCCTCTGGGAGCAAAGCACAAGATTTTCAGGGAGGTCCTCTGTTCCCTCTCCTCCTTTTCATGAGGATCAAAGGCTTTGTAAGTGTTTAGCCACATGATGGAAAAAACATGATAGATGGGAGAGAGATGGCCCATCCTAACAACCGTTGCTTGAGGTGTCACTTTAATAGCATAGCTGGCTAATGCACTGTATTTCTGTGAGAACAGATTATTGTTATTGACGCTATGTAACAGAAAGAAAATTTAAGCAAAAATATATTCAAAGGTACTTTCTTAGTAGCCAGGAAATGAAAAGACATATTGCCATGGGAAAGTCTGCTGTTAGGGACCTCTCCAAAGTACTG